CATCCACTCAGAAATACAATGTATTAGCACCAATTATTCGGCTTAATGCTAGCTCTTTGTTTATATGCAGGTTGAAGAACATGAACGAAGTTAATAGTTTCCTGGAAGAAAACAGCGCGCTAGTTGATAAGACAACACTTTACGACAATGCTTTGAAATAGGAGATAGTTAATAATATCATTAACACAACGATACTGGACAACAATGTAAAGTAGTAAAACTGAAACAAGGACATTTCCTTCTTTTCTTTAGCGCCTCTACTTTCTTTTCCTCTTCTTCCAATTTCAGTTAACAATATGTCAGTTTCAGATACTTCACGACTTTTTTGTTTTATTAATTCCATACAAACTTTATACTGGTTTTCAAACTCACTCATATATAGCGTCATATATCAAAAGTCTTTAGATTTTCAAATAAGGAAGTTTCATAAATCTTTAGATTGTTTTAAACTTTGTTATTTCAAGCTTCGCTTCAAACAAGAAAGGTTCAATATTCTTTAGATTTTTTAAAATTTGTTATTTCAAGCTTCGCTTCAAATAAGAAAGTTTCAAAAATCTGTTGATTTTTTAACTTTGTTATTTCACCTTTCATTGTTGTCATTTCTTATTTGATTGATTTAATCAAATCGTTTATTTCCTCATTCTCTTTCAAGGAATGTTGTAATGCAGACCATAGAATGGGGACACACATACTATATAACCAAACTTTAAAATAGCCATCTTTTCCGTTTATAATAATATTATCCCATTCTGACGGCATCTTATCGGTTAAAAAGTCGTTTGCTATCATTCCACAACACGACTTATCACCGTTTTTTTTCGTTATCAATAATTATAATTATATGTTTTAGGAACAATATATTTTGTTAACTCTATTGCTTTATTTCTATTAAACTCGCGTATGTTTTCTTTTATAATCTTTTATCACTACTAGGACCAATTGAAACAGTATATGTAATGTGTGCGATAATATCAATACCAACATCACTAGCAGTTAACACATTTTTAGTTCCTATTTCTATAATTGTATCTCCGTGTGTATCTGGATTTCTAAAAAGTTTTTGGTCTATAGGTCCGGCTAGTTGTGTATGTGTTATACTTGCCTTTTCAAAGAAATTAATGCTACTTTCTAATACTCTAAATTCTGGCGTTCCTGTTGCTCCAACATCAACATCAAAATCTCTTTCTGCTGTTAATTTACCAATTACATTAACCGTCTCATTACAAACTGTAGCCTTATTTAATGTAATACCTGCAGATTTATTCAATTGCAAAAATATTTCAGAGGCTTGTGGGTCGGCACTTCTATTTGATTGAATACAACACTGTTGTTCTACTGTTGTAATATAGTTCAATGAACAATTCGCGTTTGATTGTTGGTATATCTTACCTCTACTATTAATTAAAATATTATTATTAAATGTATTATCAGACCCATTAAATATACAATTTCCACCAAAATTACTATTCCCTCCTCCTGCTACGTTTAATCTATTAGAACCAGCAATAGCACCAATACCAAGGTTCAAGCAATAGGCACCCTGACCTGAAACAGTATTCAATAATGATAAACTCGGGCTATCATTACTTGAGTTATATGCATTAATATTAAATGAGTGCATCCTAATATATCCTTGCGAGTTTTTCACATCTAAAACGCGCGATGCGTCTGTTGTATTTTTAAATACTGTTACACCGTTAGCATTAGTTGAAGTTATTGTATCTCCATTCATTGTAATATTATTATCAACTTCTAAACTATCTACTTTTGTAGCACCACCAACGCTTAAAAAATAACCACTTTCGCTTGCTTTACCTATTCCTACTTCTGCACTTGTTAAACTACCTAACCCCATCCTATTAGAATTATTATCGGCACTATTATCATTTAAAATCACAATATTCCCGTCTCCTGTATTAGCATTAGTACATCTTGTGCCGTGCCGTCTCTTATTCTTAATGTTGGGTTAGAATTATTAGATATACGCCATAAAGAAATACCACTGGTGCTAACTGGTAAAAGTATAGTATCATAATTAAAACTCGTAGTGCCAAAAGCAATTAACTGTTTAAAAAATGTTGTTGCGTTTGTTGTAGTATTACATTCAATATAAGTATTTGTATCTGTGTCGTCGTTATTTCGGTTTATTAATCGTATAGCACTTGCCGTTTCATTTATTGATAAATCTAATGAAATGTTTGATTTTGTAGCATTCGTGTATCTTTCAATACTTGTGTTTGAATTAACCAACTCAATAGGATTGCTAACACCACCACCTGCTCCTGCTATTAAACCATCAACCTCACTTTTATTATAACAATTGGTGGCTAACTGACTATTAGTTTGATAATTTGTTGTTAATGTAGCTGTTGTAGCATAAGGAGTTAGTGCTGTGTTATCAATCCAGTTATTAGCGTCAATTTCGCTCTTATTATGAAAATTGGTGGCTAGTCGTGTATTAGTTTGGTAAATATCAGTTAAATGTGTACTAATAGCATTTATAGCATTAAAATTATCTAATGCTTTAGTATCAACAACTGCAATAGCACTATCTACTTGTGTCCGATTATAAAAACTTGTATTTAGCTGTGCCGTTGTTTGGAAGTTATTGCCACTAAATCTTGACCGGCATTTTGTGCTATGATTGGCGCTAGTTGTGTATCTAACTCTGCTTGTGTTATACCGCCACCTGAACCGACGTTAATGTTTGATATTTCATTGTCCACATAGGTTATTATTGCATAATCTTGCTGTAGTGATGACGTGCCAGTCTCACTAACTGTAATGAACTCTGTAGCATAAACTACACGTGAACCGTCTAATGTTATTGATTGAATATTCATTAGTATTACTATTTTGGATAATACTATTAGTATTTGATAACAATAATATTATTCAATAATATTAACTAATCTTATTGTAAGGATTTCTCATAATTTTGATGGTGCTTTGGTTTTGAATGTCTTGATTTGTTTAGTATTAAGAACTTTATACCACATGGACATTCTATAGTTTGTTTGGTATATTAGTTAACCCTATCTTTGTTTTAGTCGTATCTTTGTTTAGCACGTTCTTTTATTCTTTCTTTGTCTCTCTCATATCGTTCTTTTGCTTGTTCACTTCTCTTGTCCTTGTTTGCTACATGCTATAATTTGTCATATGCTTTCTTTTTTTGTTTGTGTTATTCATAATATTATTTTTGTTGTTTCAATCTTTGTTCCCTATTATTACGATAATTCGTTCTCGGTCGTTCATTTATTTCTTCTTTATGTTCTTGATAATATTGTTGCTTTTGTTCTTGTAGTCGTTCTTTATTATCTTGACACCATTGTTTTTTTATATTCTCTTATATGCTCTTCAGTATTTTCCCTATATTTTTTACTTCGTTCCTTATCTTCTTCTAAATGATTCAACCTATACTCTTTATGTTGTTCTCTGATTGTATCTACATTATCTTGATAGTATTGCTTATGCTTTTTTCTTGTAATTCTTCTTTATTATCTTGGTAATCAATACTGTTTCTTCCATTCTTTTATTTCTTCCTTATGTGAGGCTCTGTATTCTGCGTTTCTAGTTTTTATGACTTCTTTGTCATTTTCATAATAGTTCTTGTCGGAGTGCTTCTTTGTTTCTTCTCTCTCTTCTCTTGACACAATAGGTTTTGATAAATTTAAACCTGCTTTATACTTTTCAATTAATTCTCTCTCTATCCTCTTTGCGTCTAGACTATCTTCACATTTTCTAGTTTCAATAAGTATCATATCCCAGTTATTCCACCCTCCATTTTCATTATTAAATGATATACCAAAGCGGTTGATTTTTCATCTGCCGTTCTACTACATAAATGTTTGTGTTTGTTCTTACGTTTGATAAAGTCCGTGGTGTGTCCAATATATAAACTCTTTATATCTGTGTCTTTGCAAACAGTTTGTGTAAAAATATGTTTTTGAATAGTCAATCGGTTTTAACGGCATAATGTCTTATAATATACTATATGAATATTTCTTTAAATACACAACACTCCCATCCGGCCTTATCTCGACCACATTTTCTGAGATGAGATGCACAAATATCTCCTGTATAAGTTCATTTTCTGTTAATGTTTTGTATGGTTTAATCTTAGCCGTCATCAAACTACCCATCTTAGTATTTATACCTGTTAGATTTTGCTCCTTCATTTTTTCAGATGTTATACCAATGATAAATTTATTTGTTGCATATTGTTCATAAGTAATGCTACATGCGTCTTGGTCTGGTGTATGATAACATACGACGTAAGAAATACATGTGTTCTGCAATTTGCGATTGCCACGAAATATTATGATTCTTGTCAGCAAACCCATAACCAGCATCAGCACCAGTAGCATTAGAACCACGGTCGTTAAATCTTGAGTCAATCATGGGATTCTAGAAATAGTTAAATCGCTTATTAACATAATTGTCTGGTAAATACTAGCAGTCTTCTTTTCCGTTTGTTAAATGATTACCTCGTTGAGTTGTATAGAAGGTAATGAATGCACCGTTTAACTTACTCGCCGATTTTGCGACATTCAGTTTATTTCAGTTCCGTTCGCGTTGAATGACTGTGTTAATGTGTGATACATAGGATAAACAATTTTTAACGAACCACTCTGTAATAAATGACTTGTGGTAGTATTATTTACGGCGCTGTCTAATTGAACAACTTCTGCGCTCAAAATAATATTGTTAAGTTGCCATTTTGNNTTGTCGTAGTGTCTCCTTCAGTAAAAGGAACCCCTTGCCCAGTTTGGGTAATAATACCACCTTAGAACATATAGATGGGGTAATTCGTTATTCCTATACTTGTATTGATAATGGGGAAGTAGTAGTGATATATTGGGTGGAGTGTAGGGGGGAGTATAGGAATAATCGTCTANNCGTCTAATGGGTTGACTGGTGGTATTTTTACCCAAACTGGGCGAGGGGGGCCAGCCCCAGGCAGGCAAGCGGGAAAAGGGTCCCTGCGTCGCCTTTGCTAGGCGACCATCCGGCTCATCGACTTCACGACCTCCAAGGTGAGAAAACAGAAAATGCTCCTTGTCCCTCCGCCTTGGTGATCTTTTTTTCGTGTGCCTGGCGGAGGATTTCTCCGCCGGCCAGGCCAGGCACTGTTGGTTTTTGTTGCAGCTCCGCCGCCGCCTCCTTTCCGTTGGGAAAGGCACTGGTCACCAAGATCTGCACACCGACCTATGTGGCCAAAGAGATCTTGACCCGGAAGATGGAGCCCTACACTGAGAAGGCCTGCCGCTGGAATGGCGGGAAGTCGTGTACTCGCGGTGAGAGTGCGTGCAGGTCGATGTGTGGTCGCTTGGCGTGGTCTTCTACATCCTCTTCTCTGGGCATCCGCCCTTCAGCGGGGACACGGACTTTGACGTTTTGAAACAGGCCCGGGGAGGTTGCGGGGCCGCGGGCCGGCCCTGAGAGAACAGAGAGGGGGAGAGAGGCCGATGTAGGCGGTTTGAAGCCGTGCGGCTCTCGCGCCTCTGTCTGTGTGAGGTGAAGAAAGGGGCCTGGAGCTTCGAGCCGGCCAGCGCCTGGGAGGGGGCCCCCAAAGAGGCGCCAAAGGTTTTCACATTCTCAAGTTCAATTGTGGCTTCTTGGCCTCGGCACGGCATCCTCTCGGCAGGGCATGGATCTGATCCAGCAGATGATCGCGCCGGCGTCGGAGCGCCTCTCGGCACAACAGGCACCGGCGCGCCCAGCCCCGCAGCAGCCGCGCAGCCAGCGCCGCCGCGCCTCTCCCCGCCGGTGTGCGTCTGCGTCCTCCGCAGGTGCTGCGCCATGGCTTCCTCTGCTGAGGGCGAGACGGGCAGGGAGGCAGGGAGGCGGGACACGCTCCCAAAGGGAGCCGTGGCAGCCCGTCCCTTTCGAGGAAAAGTGCTTGGCCCAACTTCAGAGCCGCACAGCCGCTGCACAGCACCTGCACAGCACCTTCTGGCTGCTGGCTCTCACTCTTTGAAGCCGTTTAAGAGCCTCGACAGCACAGACAAGCCGGCAAGAATGGAGTTTGAGCGATGAGCGCCTCATGCCACAAGTAGCCAGCCCAGACTTGACTAGCAGAAGCGGGTGGAGATGCCTCTTTGGCCGTGGCCATGGCCCTCTTTTGCATGTGCGCTGGCTGCGCTGGTGCTGAGCTCCGGCGTGGCCGCTGACTGTTCCTTCCAGTTCAGCTCCCAAGCGCGGGATGCGCCCGGGGGAAGCTTCGTGCTTGCCACCGCCTCCAGCTTCCTCGTGCTTCGCCAGGAGTCGTTTTGCAAGTTCGTCTCAGCAGGTCCCACAAACATTCCGTGCGTTTTCCGACCCGTCACAATTCGGATAGCCACTGTCAAGGGATTCTCTGCTGCCCCTTCCTCTGTTCACAGGTTGTCACCCTGAGCTCTCAGCCCCTAGGTGAAATTCCCGGATCAAAGATTTATGGCAAGCCTTTGCTGCTTATGCTGGGCAAAGCCACCTCAGATGTGTTAGAGGAGCATCCTCCCATGGCACATCGCAGCAGCAGGACTAGAAAAGGTGGACAGGACCCAAATCCACCAACAACGTCATAGCCTTCCTCTCAATCAAGCAGTTTCCGATTTAACAGCATTACATGCACGGTTGCAGCAACCGAACTTGATGAGCTAAAGCCACGTTTGCAGATCAGAGACATGCCGGCAGGCACAGATTGAACAAGCAAGCATGGCAAACATGATCACGTCACGTTTTTTCTCCACGGCCTTGCGCCTGGCCCTGAGACGGACTGGCGTGGATAGTCAGGCAGCCAGCATCCACGTCTGAAATGTGCTGACGTAGAGATCGCCAGCTTGCCTGCAAAGCCGCCGAATGTACCGTCAATGTTGCTTCCGCGCTTGGCGATCAACGATGCGCTTTGTGTCTAGTGCATACATGATGCTAGGCCTATACCTCATGACGATTGAAGAATTCCGTCGACCATTTCTGTCAAGCAGTGAGTTCTTCTGTCTGTCTCCGTATGTCTCTGTCTGTGTCTGTGTATGTCTGCGTCTGTCTGGGTGGGTGATAAGTGGAGGCAGGTTTGCCGAGGCTGTTGCAGCGGCTGGACAAGTCGTGACTCCAATACTTTTCCGCCCACGGCGCAGTGAAAGCCCGAATCCACCGAATCCAAGCTACGCGTTACCTTGCAAGGCCCACATGAGGAAGTGGCAATGCACGACCCACGCCCCCCCGTGAAGCCCGGCAAACAGGCGCTTCTCGCATCACGAATCGGTTCTCCGATCCGGGTCTCTTGCGTGTTGTTGTTTGTGTGCGGGTGGTGCTTACAGCGACAGCTTGCAGATGCTTGCAGGACGGAGCAAGGATTCTTCTACAGCATTATTCCAAGAGCTGCAAGCTTGACACGTCAAAAGACGTGGTGGTGAACACTTCTCTGAGCTTTCTGCGGCACGGAAACGGCCTGGCTGACGCTGTGGCCTTTGCTAAAGGAGATGCCATCGCTGTTGCTTGGACAGTGGATGGCAGCCTCTACCTCACCATTTGCGAGGCGGGGAAGGGTCCTTTTTCAAAGTTTCAGCAATGCAAACGCAGCCGCAGCCATCGCAGCCCACAGAATGCCACAGGCCTCCGCCTTCCATTTCCTCGGTGGAGCCGCTGACGCATGCGACTCGCAGTTGAAATAGATACGCTTGGCAAAAGAGCATGCTGAGATTGCAAGCCTTGAAGTGGGGGGTTTGGGAGGGGCTTAGAGTCGGTGCAGGGGCAAAAGGCCCGGATGTTTCCTCGCCGGAGGTTCGGCGCCCTTGCTGGTGGCGTCGGCGACGCAAGGAGGCGTCTTGAGCCCAGGAGGCGGCCGGCCTTTATCTGCTCTAATCAGCTGAGGCTTCAGGCCCCTTTAGGCTTTTCGGCTGTTTTCTCGACGGCAGATGCTAGAGAAACACAGGGAGCAGGGCCCCGGGTTTGGGGTTTGTGCACGTGTGAGCAAACTTGACATCAAGAAAAATACGCGGTTGAAGGGAGTTTCTGGCGGAGGTGTGCGACTTACTGCAGCAGAGCCAGCATCAGGAGCCTCAGGAGCCTCTAGAACTGGCTTATGCCGTGGGTCCCCGCAGCTTATCGGGGCGCTTCTCAGGAGCTGGGCGAGGTGTTCTGCTGGCTTTCAGCACGTGGGAGGAGGCTCTTTCACGCGCGCGCAGGCGCCGCGCGCTCGGCGCCTGAGCCACTCCAGCGATTCCATCCAGGATGGCTGGGGTGTCAGCACCCGAATTTGTGATCTCAGTGGCTGTGGCCAGCCTTTGGACTTGCCGCCCAATCCCCAGTCCGCTGCACCGACTGGAAAGAGCCAGACGGCGAGACCGCGAGCACCTCGCTGAGGCGGCAAGCGAGCCAGTGGCCCACAACTCGGCTCCAAAAGCGCTCGAGAAGCGGCTGCAGTGTTCGTAAGAGAGGCCGCGCTGGTGAGAGTGTGCGCCGCTCCGAGGCTGCCAGAGCTGGCTTGGCCGAGAGCTCGCATGCTTTCTGTGCACAGGGCACGTTTGCTGTGCAGCTGGTGCGAGTGCCGCGCTGCCCTCTCAGGTGCAACGACTCTCTTTGGGCACTCTGGCTGGGAAATGCCACCGGGCAAGGCCCCCCCCTTTTCCCCCCCCCAGGGCACACACACACACACCATAATTCATAATCAATGCACCATGTATACGACTGCACGGTGCCCTGAGGATCCAGCAGCGGTCCTTTCCGGCGTTTCTTGGGCACTTCCCGAGCCTGGAGCGCAGCAGTTCCTGTGGACCTCCATGCCGACAACGGCATCAGTGCTGCCGCAGAGCAGCACGAAGTGGAGCAGTGCCAGAAGAGGGAGAGAGTGCTTATAAGCATTTGTTTTGAGCATGCGTGACAGCCTTCACCTTGTCGCTTTGCCGAGGCCGCCACGTGCCGCGGGGAGGAGGTTGTTTCACTGTGGCTTGAGAGCGGCGGCGCAGAGGTGAGATGGAACTACTCCAAAGCACCCGCAACCGCCGCAACTGCGAGCTTCCGGAAGCTCTCGGCCACGACAAACCGTGGGCGTCTGCTCGTCAGTGGGGCCCCCGGCTTGGGCCTCGGAAGGGTGGCCGTGGTGGCGAAGAGTGGTCTGATGCTCCTCCTCAGCAACTCCCCGAGCGGCAAGCTGCAGGCAGAGAGTAGGACGCCCTAGGACATCTAGGACTAGGACTGGAGACTTCCGGCCAGCATCAGCCGCATCAGCACCTCGCCCTTCGCGGCGGCTTCCATTAGCATCCTCAGTGTCCTCACTTGTTTCTTGGAGGAAAGCGGCGCAGGCAGGCAAGCATCAGCAGCATCAGCACATCCTTTTTTTGGGCGGACGCCTTGCAAAGCGACCGTTGGCTTTATTGCATGGGGAATTGCAGTCGTCATCAGCATCATCCACACACACACACACATCACACACCTGTTGATCAGGGAAGCGGCCGGGCCGTAGCGGCGTAGCGATTTATAGGCTTTCGTTCGCAGGTCCAAGCGCTGGACTACGCGTCTCCTCGTGGGCCACTTCTTTACCCCATGCACGACATCGCCCTGGCGGCCCAGGACGTACAAGTCTCCATGGACTGCGCAGGCCCGGTGAAGGAAGAGAGCGGTCGTGGCCCAAAGGGCGCGCTGCAGGCTCTGACGTGGAGTGCGACGGGGCGCTGATCTGCTGGTACTTCGGAGGTTCCGGGTGCGGCCCATGGGCGCCAAAAGCGCTTTTTGCTTTGGGGAGGCGACCTGCACACCGAGCCGAGCTCTCACTGCAGCTACCGAGGCCCCCGCTCTCCGCTCTCCGTCTCCCAACTCCCTGCTTTTGGCCCTGGCCCTCCAGGCTTGGCGTCGCTGAGAGAAGCGGAAGGCCTGGGCACCGCAGGCGCGGCCGGGGGGGGGCGAAAAGCGCCACTGCAGGGGTTCTTTCCACGCGTGGGGATCGCTTTCGAACCGCCCAAGAAGCGAACAAGTCTCCGAACTGCTCTCGGTGCTACTCGTAGATGCTGGGTGAAGAGAGCTGCTGTTGCTGCAGCGCCTTTCGGATGCCAAAAAGGGCACATCATCAAGATAGTTGTCATCCATGTCACCACCGCTACTTCAAATAAACGCAGACCACGTTCCAAAGAACCGTGTAGGTTAGGGACGAAGCAGGGGGGACTAGTCTACCGGGTGCCCCAAACTCTGATTCCAACCTGAGGCCCTTGCCAGAACAGTACGCTTCTCGATTTGCGGGTGGCACTGGACAGTGCGAATGCGTCCGTTCAGACTCTGCGAAGCAATGCTTACATATGCATGCATGACAAGTCACTACCGACCGCACTCCTCCTCACGTTTCACTACACAGAGAAAAGTGCTCAACAGTGGGCACTGACAATCTCATAAAAAAGCACAGTACTAACAAGTGGGCGTTCCCGGAGCAAATTCACCTACCTTCACCACCGTCATGGTGCATGGTCAACTGTTGCCCTCTAAAGTTCCAGTACCTACCACCAAAATAACACGTAGCAAAGGAGAGAACTCTGTTGGTGAGCACTGAAGCTCATGAGAAAAGCAATGACCCACCCGTCGTAAGCAGACTACGGCAACATCTTTGTCTGGTCCCGAGCCCCGCACTGCGCCCGCAACGCATGCGACTTAACGCCGAACAGCTTTGATCTTGCTTGCTCAAACGCGCTGCGCCAAAAAATCTTTGTCAATGGATCCGGTGGAGTTTCTGTATCGCGAACCTATCTGCTGCGCAAGCCCAAGTGCCTAGTTCTCGTAGCCTGGGGATCGTGGTGTCCTTTCACCAGATTGGTCAAACACGCGGCATTGTCCCTGTACAAGGTCGCAGCCGGCCACATTGTGAGCTTCCCAAGTGTTTCACGCACCTTGAGTCACCTTGATGCCCATTTCCAGCGCGGTGGTGCAAGCATCTCTGCTTCGACTGCGTTAGCTATGACGTGTTGTCCCCCATTAACTACCTGTAGGGCGCCAATGCGACTGCCGCCCGCGCCCACACGCAGCGATGTATCGCCATAGAAATGCATTGGATCACTCATCCCAGCCATATTCTTGCACCACAGGCCACAGGTCTTCGTGTGCAATAGGTCGTGCCACCCCGACAGCCGATTTGACTGCCTTCGTGAGGCACTAAAGGTGATCCTCCCGTAAGCGTTGCGATCATCAGGCTTCCGATGTGCGATTGTGCAATCTGGAAGTGCGAGCACGTGAATACTGGACGCAAAGACACGCAAACCTTTCGCCTCTCTCTCCATGCTCAAGTCGACAGCTTTTGGTAGGAATGGCCATGAAGCTCCAAGCCTTGCTTGCCACCGTTTGTTTCCAGTTGGTGCACATCGGCTTCTGCAAAGACGCCCCCTTTCGAGGCCAACTACCTTGTTTGGTCTGTGAGTGTCGATGTGATTGCCGTATATAGAACCTTTAGATGTGCCGTGCCGGGTGGCAGCTTTGTTTGGCTGGGCTGGCAGGCTTGACCTTCCTGGTAGGATTCTACAGGACAGGACGTTCTCGCCGGTTTTCCCAGGCCCAGGTGATCTGGAGAAGGAAGCAGTGTCCACTCGCCAGCCGAACCGGAAGCACCAAGGTGCCATTGAGGAGCTCGGCCGGCCGGGCGCAGGAGTTTAAAGCCACCATGGTGTACAGTGTACGGGCGGCCCACACAGCGAGATGCCAAGAGCGTCCGCATCGTTGTCGAAGGGTATTCCTTGACCTTTCACGTACTGCAGAAGCTGGTTCACTTCCTGCAGTTAGTACTTTCTCGCCGACCGGTCGGAGTAGAGCTGGTCCACGGCGCAGCAGGTTCCCCTCCCCGGAGTCCACGTGCCTCTTGTTGCTAAATGCGTGTGTTGCTGCTGCCCTGGCCACACATAACAATGTCGGGGGCATCCAAGTACTGCATTGGCCACACAAAACATGTCTAGAGCATCCGAGCATTGCACTGGCCACACAAAACATGTCTAGAGCATCCGAGCATTGCACTGGCCACACAAAACGATGTCGAGGGCATCCGAGTACTGCAGTGGCCACACAAAACCCGTCCAGAGCAAGCCCCTGTGGTGTAAATCGGGCCCTCACCGAGCCAAGCGATCAAGAAGGCAAGGATCGCTTGGGCACGCCGCATGTTTTGCCTTCCTCCAAGAACTGCTTCAAGGCTCAAGAGCGCTTGAAGTTCATGGGTTGCTGCTGGCTCTAAAGCGGTTGCTGAGATCAAACAGGCATTCTCATGAGCGTTTGGTCCTTCTGGTGCATGCCAAAGCAAATCCTGGGTGCTGCTACAGCAAAGACGGGGCGTACTTCTGCTCCTGGCCGTGGCGTCTTGCGGCACATTTCAAGGCTTCTGCTGGCCACCAACAGCCTGCTACGTCTTGTGTACGTTCCAACACAACCCTGCAGATGCACCTTCTCGGCGTCACTGTGCATGGTTTTTGGGGGTTGCCCCTCCCTTGGTTGGTCACTTGGCGCCCGGGAACTTCGTGACAGCTTCCTTCTTTCTTGAGTGGGAGGCTGCTTCAACCAGCTGCTGAGGCTGGGTTCTGACGTCAGGAAAGTGGGTTGCCGAAGTCTGCACCAGCTGCTTTGCTCATGGCATTGCTCTGCACACGGTGTGGTCAAAATGCAGGCTTATGCAGGCTTCTTCTTGATTGCGGCGCGCAGGAAGCGCGCCAGTCGCCCTGGCGATTGGCTGCAGTTTTCTGGTTCTCGGCCGGGCGATTTTTTCGGAGGAGTGGACGAGCGACAGTCTTGCAAGATTTCTCTTACACCAGGTGACAAAAAGCGTCGAATGCGTTCCGTGTGATCTTCCATCATGTCAGCAATGCCAGCCAAGCGATGACGACAGAATGAAGTTTGGTATTCTTTTGTGAACGTGCCGGGCGATGAGAAGTTCACTGCCAAACAAATCAGACTCAGGATGGTATGTCGCGCAGCTGGCACACGGCAAGTTTCTAACCCGCTGCGATTGCTCCAGGATCCACAGTTTCAGAAGCATGGCCGTGGACCGTGCTCCGAAGATGACAAAAAGCGTAGAATTCGTTCCAGGACCACCCCCCGCATCCCCAAACCCTGATTCCAAGCTGAGGCTCTTGCCACAACTCGTACACTTCTCGATTTGTGCACCATTGCTTTGCCTTTATTGAGCCATGTCGATCGTGGCAAAATGAGTCTGTACTTTGCGACGCAATGCTTACGTATGCATGCATGACAAGTCACCACCAAACACGCTTGCTTGCGTATGTTTGCGTTTTCAATCACTGTTGGCGAATTCGTAATCTAGTTGGAGCTATCCTGCACGGAGACTGAACTACGCGGGCGCACTCCAAAAAAAAACCAAGATCCTTGAAAAGCCAACGCCTGGGGGGTTCTGGCTTGCGACACTCGCACTGTTCAAGGACAGTTCATCATTCTTGTCCTGTGCGACGCCAAGCTTGTCGAGCATTGAGAGTGGGAGTCTTCGAGAGTGGGAGAGAATCAAGGTTTATTCTGCTTGTCGTTCTATCGGAAAGGTTGGGCAGAGGAGGAAGTCGGGGAGTGGTTGTTGAAGCTGGCGCTCATGCGAGCCCAGCGTGGCGAGAGCACGAGTCTGTGCAGGTTTGGAAATGCCGGAAGAGAAGTCGCAATCCGTTGCAAAGCATGGGATTGCGGCGGGTTGCTGAATTCCGTGTGGCACCAGTCCTGCACTGTTGCACTGGCCTTGCAGACTCCGAGCAACCACTTTCATCACTCCGAGCTGAAATGGTAAACCAGTATGAATCAGTATGAAGGTTTCCAAGGCACATCGAAAAAGAGCAGAGACGGGAGGAGAGAGACTTGGAGAATGGCAGTGGTTTTTTTCTGAGGTTTGCTTTGCTCTCGCTGATGTGCGTGCTGAAGCAGTGCGCCTCTCAGGGCCCGGGAACCCAGCGCAGAGCAGAGATGAGCAGAGTGCAGAGCAGCCCCCCCTCCTTCTCCCATATTTCTTGGGCCTTGGGATCGCGGCGGGCGCCGAGGTGCCTTCGGGCGCAATCGCGCCCTCCTGCAAGCGCGGCACGAAGCCCAGGAGGCCGCATGGCCGCACCCGGACTTGCCGCTGCGGGCTGTGGGAGAGTGGGCAGAAGCCGCCAGGAGCTGCAACAACGTCGACAAGAGCGAGCAGCTGCCCAGGCGCAGGAAGCAGGAAGGCAAGGTCAAACTGCGCGGGCTTTACCTTTCGCTTCTTGAGGCTCGAACGCAGGAGCTCCGCACGCAGTTGGTGGGAAGCCCAGCACAGCGCCGCAAGAGCTGGTTCCGGCTCGGCTGCGGCTGAGGCGCAGATCCCGCTTGTTCCGCTGGCAGGGGCGGCCCCAGGCCTGCGAGCATGCTGCGAGCATGCAACGGCGTTTTCTGTTCTGCTCTTCTGCGCTCTTCTTACACATTCCAGGTTCAAACGAGCTGTCGTGTCACGGGAACACCGGGAACACTGCACACGGGAGCTCTACGTCGGCCTCGTCCTCTTCGGTTTGCCCCATCTGCCAGAACGAGGTGCTCGTCCGGGTGGCCCTGCAGAGGCGTCCCGTTCCCTTCGTATCTGCAGAGTCCGAGGATCTCTCTTTAGACGCAGACCGCGCATCGCAGGTGTGGGCACACCGCCTGTCGGGACTGTACCACCCGACTCGTGGACCTGGCTCAGCCCGGTGCTTAAAGGCTGAAAGTGGCAAAGGCTTGCGGCGTGAATGAAGACAGCTCTCCACTCCACGGCTCCACGGCCGTCCCTTATTAAGGCCTTGCCACATTTGCCGCTCTCCCATCGAGGGCGTCCTGCCCGTCTACCTCTAGCGGGGACAAAAAGACTCGTGCTCAGGCGCAGAGGAGGTCAAGAGGTCAAGCAAGGCAGCCTCAGCCTCGAGCGCCGCGCATAGAGGGATGACATCCTCGGAAGGTCTTGAGACAGGCTGAGGAGGGCAAAGAGAAGCGATGGCCCAGTCTTCCGGCCCAGACCTGTCGGCCGTAGCGGCGTAGCGGCGTAGCAACCGCCCGGGGCGGGGCGGCTCCGCATGGCGATGGCGGGAGCCTCGAACTCGCTTCCGCCCGAGTTGGCGCTTTCACTGCTCCAACGACCGTGCGCCGAGGCCGAGGCCAAGGCCGTGCCCTGGTGGAGGCGCGGGGGCGCCGCCGGCCGCCGGCCAGAGCTCGTGCAGAGACTTTCACTTCTGGCTTCCGCTCTTCCGCTTCGGCCTGCGATGCTGCGTGCAGGTGCTGCTTGCTCTACCTTGCCTCAGGTGGGAGAGGGTCTATAGAGAGAGCCCTGGGAACAAAAGAGGCCGGAAAAGGGAAAAAAGAAAGCGGAGAGCGGGCCCGCGTCCCCGCGTCCCCGCACGCGTGTACACTCGGACCTTTCACAGAGCATGGTGTGACAGCGCTTCAGCGCTTCGCGGAACTTCGGGGAACGGCAGCGCCTGAGCTCCAGGGCTCCGGCAGCCTCCGGCAGGGAGGGCGCGTTTTGTCAAAGCTGTGTTAGCTGTGAGTCGCGGTCGCGGGGAGGCGCGGCGATCTATTGTCGCCGCATTGTAGCCGTCATGTTGATCTCGTGTGCGCTAGGACTATAGGAGACTCAGCTGTCATTTCAGGCTCGGCATGGGTCACTTCCATCCCATTGCTCATGCTGGCCCTTGGAGGGTCAATGCAGCCGCATGTGAGGGGCCCAAGATTTTGGGCTGGTGGGTTCGAAGACGCTTACATGCGGTGCCTCACAGATGGGATGGTGCAAGTCGCTGCTGACGGCGGTTTCCATGTTCGCTGTCCTGGTTCAGGCAGGGCAAGGGAGGGTTTTTCAGCGTTAGTCGGGCCGTTGAGCACTCGTAGCTGGATTCCGGGAAGTGCCTCGTTTGGCGCGATGTGCTCCCAGTGCCCATCGCCCTTTCAGATCGTGAGGCGATGCCACAAGCATCATCAACAACAGTTCAATAGCAGGCGACTTCCATGTTGCCTGCGAATCCTGAAGCAGCGTTCTCGAAAGCTCCGGCAGCCAAGCATCAAGAATACCATCCATGCAGTGCCATGTGGAGACGCGGCGATACTTTCCAGACTGTTGCTCTGACAATCGGACTTCAATGTGCAGAGCTGGCTGAGTTTACTGCCGGCTGCGAGCCGTCGCAGCGGATGGGCTGCCTCTGCATTTGTGGCCTTAGAGACAAGGAGACGTTTCTGTGTTTGCAGGTCGACCAGCGCCTAGCTGCTGCGTCCGTTTTCCTAGCTTGGGCCTTTGCACCGCGAAACGTCAGCGCATGAAGCCAGGAGACTCTGAAGTCTGTGAACCGTCGCCATCCATGGCTGAGATATGGCATGCGGCATACTCTGGCTCTCAGGTCTCCTTTTCCTCCGCACTGCTGGCACGCGCAGGGCCGGCCTTCTTGCTTGCCGCAGCCGGAGCCCCTGGGGCCCCACTCATGCCGCATGCCGTAGGCACACTCGGCTTCTAATGATTCGAATGCTCCTATCTCGGTATCTCGATTTCGCTTCACGGAACGCGAGCGGTGCTCACATCAGCGTCCTTGCGTCTCCTCTTCTCGTTCTCTCTTGTCCAGCGTCTCGTTTCTGTGTCCATGTTGATGCAAGACATTGATGACTTGCACGTGGCCGGAAGCCTTGGGCAGCGTAAGCCCTTTCACCCTAGCGGCCCTAGCCCTAGTCCTCGTGGTAGTTGCGATCCTGGACCGAAACCTCTTCCCCCGACAACTAAGAAGCGCAGAAGCACAAGTGGCAAATCAGCCTGGCAAAGAACGCAAAGCACACGCCCAAAAGCCAAGGGTAATGTAACAGTGATCTCGGAGGTAGGGAGGTAGGAAGTCTCGCCCGTCGAGCTGATAAACCCTATTTGTGACACAGTGAACCCCTGCGGTGGATCATTCGCACTATCGTACCGCAGCCCTGAAATCAAGGGGAAAAGAAAGAGTTTCATGGTAGCGGAGCTTGCTCCGGCAGCTCCGAGGCTCCCTAGAATTAGGACCCCGAGCCTGAAGGCCAATTTAGTTTCACCGCATAAGAGCCTTTTGTTTTTCTTCATTGGCTGCAGTTTAATCTGCCCACTGACCACCGTAAGTCCCCCTGGAGCTGGGGCGGGTCCGCACGCCGTTTCGGCATTTTACAGTTTTGGTGGGCAAAGTGGGAAGAGGTTTTCCGGAAGAGAGAGGAGGCCTGGCAAGTTACAACTGGTTGGGCCGTTGGTACAGAGGAAGCTGGAAGCAGAGTTTCAACTTTGTGGTCCTGCGCTTGGTGAAATGGATGGTGCAAATGGAGAAGCGCAGCAACAGGCGCAACAGCAAGCACAGCAACAAGCACAGCAGCAGGCTCAGCAACAAGCACAGCTGCAGGCACAACATCAGGCGCAACAACAAGCACAGCTACAGGCACAACAGCAAGCGCAGCAACAGGCACAGCTACAGGCGCAACAGCAAGCACAGCAGCAATCGCAGCAGCCAAGTGGGAGCCAAGGAGCTGGGCCGGAGATGATCGACCGTTTGGTCCGGCAAAGAATGAATGAGGCCTTTGGGGCCGTGTTTGGGAGGCTTCTTGAGACGAGCGAGGAAGCGGCCCAGGCCGCACACCAGAACATGTCCTACCAGAAGGGCGAGAACTTAGCAAAGGGTCTGAAGGCAGACCAGTGGAAGCCGGCAAACAGAGAGGAAGAGCTGAGAACGTGGAGGGAATGGTACTTCACCTTCACGAACTACCTGGTCGCGAACGACCCGGAGTTTGAGGAGGACCTTCGGAACCTGGACCTGGACACGGTGGTGTCCCACGAGCTTCTTCCAGATGATGTGGTCAGTCGCAGCCAGCGGCTGTACGGTCTCCTCTGCTCACTGCTTCGTGGCCGGCCGCTGCTCCTCATAAAGAACCTCGACAGCACGAAGTGTGGATATGAAGCAATCAGGCGGCTGAAGAATGAGATGGAGCCGCGGGAGAAAGCCCGAAGCCTGGCTTTACTTCGAAGCTTGGCAAGCTGGAGGTTTGATGGGACGGCGGGCCTTCACGAGCAGCTGGTGAAGTACGAGGAGGCCTTGAGGACCTATGAGCTAGCATCTCAAAAGACTTTTCCGGAGGACTTGGTGCTGGCGACGGTCCTCACTGGGATGAAGGAGCCGCTGAGGTCGCAACTTCAGCTTCGAATGGGGCCTGGAACAAAGTACAGCGAAGTCAGGGAATGGATTCTCCAATGGGAGAGTCTGAACACACCTTGGGCGACAACAACCCCAGGAGGAAAGGGAGGCGGCCGAGATGATGGTGGACTTCGGCCCATGGACGTGGACAGAGTAGAGGACAAGGGAAATGAAAAAGGAAAGGACGGAAAGGGCAAAGGAAAAGGAAAAGGAAAGGACGGCAAGGGAAAAGGAAAAGGGAAAGGAAAGGACAGCAAAGGAGGAGGCGTCGGCAAGGGCAACTACGGCAACTACGGCGGCAAAGGATGGAACCAAGGAATTGGAGGCAGCTGGGCCAGGACAGCGAAGCTTGCCGCATCTGCGGGAAGCGTGGACACTGGAAGTGGGAATGCCCACAGGCCAAAGGAAAGGGCTGGGGGAAGCAAGGCGGCAAAGGAAAAGGAAAGAAGGGCGACAAGGTGCAGCAAGTGGAGCAGAGCGGTGCCGCTTCGGTGGCCGGCTCTACGGCTACTTCCTCGACGTCTTTGCCTCCTTCGGCCTCAGTCTACCGTGGGAGCACAGCCTCAGTGAACTTGGTTGCCGTGGCTTTGGAAAGCGCAGAAGCAAGCTGCCAAAGGACCACAGAGGTCTTCGACCTGACAGAGCTCGATGACGAGTATGAGGGGGAGTTTGGTTTGGAGCCGGGCGACGTGATGATGATTCGGGCCATGGCTGAGGAGGAGCAAGGGAACTCCGATGCCGAACATGAGGTGCTTGCGGGTCTCTACGGCGGCCTGCAGGATGAGGAGGACTCCTTTGTGAATTTCTCGGGGGTCCCGGTCTACGCCATGGACGCAACGGACGGTGATGAGCAGTGGGATGTTGAGCCCGGCCTCGACCGACCCCCTTTACAGGTGAACGCCGTCACAAGAACAAAAGAAGTGGAGGTTGTGATTGACTCGGGTGCCGATGTCTCAGTGGCCCCCCTTTCGGTGGCAGCCTATGGAAAGGCAACCCAGTCAGTGGGTGTTCGCATGCAGGACGCCCAGGGGAAGATGATCAAGGAGCGTGGGTGCCGGGTGATCGACGTGATGATGAAGGCTGCCGGCGAGGAAGTGATGGTTCGCGAGCGTTTTGCCATAGCGAAAATTGGCTCGATGATCATGTCGCTGGGCCGGCTTCTCAGATGGGGGTGGCAACTTGGACACCAAAACGGCGGCCCTGTGATCGAGAAGGACGCGCACAAGGTGCCGATCACGCTGAGGAGAAATACCTTGACGGTGCCGGCGGTGATTGCAGCTGTTATGGTTGGGCCTCTTCTCCAAGGCCAAGCCCCAGCACGAGTGCAGCCCCTTAGCACGTATGATGATCTGGGGCGGTTTCCCAAGGAGGTCGAGGACTTAGTGGCGAGACCTGGCTGGAGCATTTTGCCAAGCGGCCTGCCTTTGCTGACGATCCACAAGACCGAGAACTTGAATCTGGAGCAGTCGCTTTGGGAGGCAGACGATTGGAGCTGGATCGCGGTCTTTGTGCGGTTGGAAGAGGCAACTCGTGCCCCTGAGCCACCTTGAAGAGCCAGGACTATGAGGGCGTGTCGCAACAGATTGTGGAGCTGGATGAGGACCTGGGCGGCCAGCGTGACGTTGCAGTTCTTTTCCATGTGGATGAGTTGCCGAAAGACCTCCTTAGCAACCCTCGGGATATCTTTTGCGAGGCCCCAGGCGAGGAGGACATGCCACCAGCCCCTTTGGGAGATGATGGAGGCGGGGCCCTTCTTGGAGACCAGCCCTTGGATGTGGAGTTCGAGGGCCAGCCCCAGGAGCCTGAAGAAGTCGAGGGTGAAAGCCTCGAAGGGGTGAAGCTCAACGTCGAAACCCCTCTCAAGAAGCTGAAGGAGCTCTGTGACACTCTGGGCCTCTCCCGGAGCGGGGGAAAGAACAAAGTCTTGGCCCGCCTTCGGCAGCAAAGAGAGATCTTGGAGAGGAGAATGACAACGGAGGTGGCAAGGAAGATGTATCTTGAGGGCAACCGCGACCCGGACATCCCAAGGACACCCATATTGCCGTCAGCCCGCCAGCAAGAGCTGCACAGCATCACGCACCAGCCTTTCCAAAGCTGGTGTGAACACTGTGTGCTCAGCAGAAGCAAGCAGTCGCCACACAGGCCCGGCCAAGAGGAGGTGGAGCAGAAAGTGCCAGAGGATGTCCGAGTCGACCCTGTGATCCAGATCGACTACTGCTTCACCTTTACAAAGCTAAAGCACGAGGTTGTTCCTGAAGAGGGGCAAGTTGTGGAACCTGATGCTCCCGAGGCGGGGCACCAGGAAGCCCCAGCGGAGGCCGCGGAGGAGGCACAGCAAGCAGCAGCAATAGCAGAGCAGCCCGGGCCCAGAGAGGCAGAGGACCGACGAGATCAATATGGTTTGTGCTTGGTGGCAGCCGAGAGCACAACCGGATGGGTCACGGCGATCCCGGTGCTCGAGAAAGGCGCTGGCTCGCTCAAGCGGGTCACAGAACAGCTTGTGCGCCTGTCGCTTCAGGTGAGTCCCGGCGACCCGGTTACAGTGCAGGGAGATCCTGAGCCCTCGATCAAACAGGTGCTCAACGCAGTCGAGATGTTCAGGGCCCGCCTAGGCCTTAAGACAACACAGCGGCTCATTGAGAAGGGGTCGCATCAGTCCAATGGACAAGCCGAGAAAGCCATCGACAACATCCGGCGGAACGGCCTCACGCTGAAGTCCTTCCTCGAGGACCGGATCAAGGCCAAGGTTGATGGTGATCGGCATGTCTATGCGTGGCTGTTGAGACACGCAAGCTACATCATGAACCGTTTTGCGGTGGGCGTCAGAGGAGCAACGAGCTTCGAAGTTATGTTTGGGAGAAAGTACAAGGGCAAGCTGGTGGCGTTTGGGGAACAAGTTATCTTCCACAGGCCCACGAAACATCGCGGGCAGCTTCAATGGATGAAAGGAGTGTTCCTGGGGATCAATGAGCGCAATCATGCTTTCATCCTCGGCACCCCGGACGGAGCAGTCGAGAGCCGCAGCATACGGAGGCTTCTGGCCGAGCAGCAGTGGAATGCAACGGCAGTCTTGACGATGAAAGGGCTGCCCTGGAACTACCTAGGCCGAGGCCGAAGGAAGAGAGCTCTCTACACACAACGTGTTCCCCTACTGCCTGACTCGGCAACGCTAGACCAGCTAGCTAAAGCCGCGGGGCTAACATGGTGGATGTTGGCAGGAACCCTGTGGCTGAAGCGCCCCGAGCCGATGGAGGTGGTCCCCAGAAGCGAGCAAGGCTTTTGCTAGACAGGCCCGCAGCAGCACCAGTCACGCCAGCAGGTTCAGAGACAACAGCACAGCTTTACCCACCAACCTTTGCAGGTGTGCGGCGTGTGCATGGTGACATCCTCCCGCAGGACCTCTGTGACTTCCACGCATGGTCAGAGGATCTCAAGGAGGACCTAGCAGAAGCGTGGGAGGAGAAGATTGATGATGGAGCCGCGTGGTGGGATGATGAGGGGGAGGAGCCGCCCAACCTCACCGAGGAGGAGGTCAAGGCAATCGACAAGGAAGCTGACAAGACCGAGGTCAATCGCCTCATTTCCATGGGAGTTGCCCGGTGGCCAAAGCCGGGAGAAGACTTGTCAGGGCACTCACGTCTCACAACAAAACTGGTGCGTGATTGGCGACAAAGGCCGAAGTGGGTGAGGAGAAGTCGGTTGGTCGGGAGAGAGTATCGCTCTCTCTCGGCTTGGACGCAGGACCTCTTCGCCCCCTCGACGTCCCTTGCAATCATACATTCGTTCATCAGCTACAGCCTCTCCCAGGAGCTCAAGCTCTACACATGCGACGTCAAGGATGCATACCTCAACGTACCTCAACCAACACCCGTCCTGATCCAGGTCGACAAGAGCATCTTTGGAGAAGGAGAGGAAGGATACGTGGTGTTGGTCCTCGAGAGGCTCTTGCCTGGACAAAGGGCAGGGGCAAGTGGGTGGTACCGTCCTCAACGAGGCGGGGCTAGAGCATTTTGCCAAGGAGCCCACACTCTTCAAGACAACCGAGCCCAATGAGAAGACCGCCCTCTTGCTCCACGCCGATGACGGGCTTCTTGCAGCGACAGAGGCTCAGAAGGCGAAGTTTGAGGAAAAGGTTGGTAGCAAGGTGACTTTGCAGATGAGCGAGCCCCTGGCCGAGATTGGAGATGAGATAAGTAACGGGGCCCTTGGCCCAAACTTGAAGAAGCGAGACAGCCCAAGTGACCACAGCTTTTTGGAGCCAGACACAAGCAAAGAGCTGGGAGTTGCTGAGGCCAAGCTCTTCAAGGAGTGCGTGGGGAGGCTGATGTATTTAGCCCACTCAAGGCCAGATGTGCAGTTTCCTGTTTGCATCCTCGGGTCAAAGATGAGTGCACCAACAGCAATGGCGATGAAATGGTTGCAGAGGGTTGTTGGATATTTGGCCAACACTCCGGAGATTGGCTTCTTGCTGAAGCCAGCAAAGCACAACGGCAGCTACGACTATGATGGGGATGGCCACCTCACTAGTGGCTCCACTCTGGTCGTTGAAAGCATAACGGACGCCGACTGGGCTGGATGCAAGCGAAGCCGGAAGTCGCGAACTTCCCTACAGCTGTATGTTTCTGGGAGTTTGGTTGGGAGCGCTGTCCGCTCTCAAAAGGCCATAGCCCTCAGCAGCGGAGAGTCGGAGTTCGTTGCAGTCGTGTCCGGAGCATGCGAATCTCTATACCTGAGGGATTGTCTGTCTTTCCTGACAGGTCCCAGCTGCAATGTGCGGGTGCATTGCCGCACCGACAGCTCAGCTGGGAAGGCGATCACGCAACGCCTAGGATGCGGAAGGGTGCGGCACCTACAGGTTGGGATGTTGTGGATCCAAGCTGCAGTGAAAGCCAAGGAGCTCAGCGTGGGATCCATTCCAGGATCTCAGAATCCTTCGAATCTGGGAACAAAACCCTTCGGTGCCCAACGTGTTCAAGAACTCCTTTGCTTGATGGGTGCCAGGACACCAGACGAGGAGCCCTACGGCACAGAAGCAAAGGAAGAGGCCGAACGCAAGCGCGAGATCGCGAACATCGTCAAGGAGATGAAGAGCACCGGCATGCACGTGAGCAGAGTGAAAGCCGTGCTTCCCCTACTTCTCTTTATGGTGCAAGCAACCAGTGTTCAGGGCTTGGGCCTGGCCGCGGGCATTGGAGCAATGGTTCATGAAGAGACAATGGCGCAAGTCATTGCCACGGTTGCAATTGGTTTCCTGGGTCTGCTGGGGTTTGTGGGGCTACCTTACAGTGCTTGGAAAGTTCTTGGGTGGCTTTGGACGTGCAGAGGCTTCCGTGCAACAACTTCAAGCAGAGGAGTGCAGACGAGGCCCCCAGCTCCACCAGTTCCAAAGAGCAGCAATGAGGCCCAGGCAAACTTGGGAATGAGCCGGAGTGAGGAAAGGTTCATGGACGAGTACGTTCGCCGATGCCGTGAGCTTGAGAGCGTAGTGTATGAGAAGTGCCGGGAAGCCGAGCAGTACAGTGAGGAAATCCGTAGGTTGAGACAGGAGAGTCGGGAGCTCAATGAGAGTCTCGAGACAGTGCGTGGACGGCGAGTGCCACCACTTGTGAAAGTAGCTTCGAATAGAGGCATCAGATACCACCTGCCCACATGCGGTCATATCCAGAACTCCACAACTAAGAGCTACACCCCGTGTGCAGACTGCATTGGGTAGGTAGGGCTTTTAAGGTGCCTTTAGCGCACAAATTCTTCAGAGGCACTGCAGGAGCCTGAAGACAGGAGGGCACCTGCAGTGAGGCGGGGTGTGACACAGTGAACCCCTGCGGTGGATCATTCGCACTATCGTACCGCAGCCCTGAAATCAAGGGGAAAAGAAAGAGTTTCACTATTAGTGTTGCATTCGCCCTAGACGGTCCTTGGCGTAGTCCTGTTACAACAGTTCTTGAGATGTGCTGCTTTTCGACAGTGGAGATGAGACAGAACGAGAGGCCCTGCCCTCGATCAGAAGGTTCATTTTTCTCCCGGGAACGGGGGAGGGCACAGCGCGCGGAAGGGCCCACGGCCCAACACTGCACGCGGCCCGGAAGGGCCGAAGGGCCGAAGGGCCGAAGGGCCGGGCCGGGTCGCCACAGCTGCATTCGCAGAGGGTTTGGACTCGGCCTCACTGGGAGGGAAAAAAAAGGAGGCGAGTCGCGGAGCGCCCGCAGAATCTAAAGTGGTAGTGACGACCGCCCTCAGCACATGCACCCTATAACACCCCATCAATGGCACTGCTGCCCTTTCACAGTTGTCGCAGCACCTTCGCAGCGGGAAACTATGGCAAGTAACCACTGCCGTGTCAAACGAAGCTTCTACATTGCTGCTTTTTTGGTGGTTCTAGGGCTGCTTGCGCTACGTGGCGGTCGTTGCTTGCCCCATTCTCAGACTCTGTCGATCTCCCCCATCGTTTGCAGCGATGGCATACCGACTGAATGAATGGCGCCCAAGACGCTAACTACTGCTTGCAAATTGTTGTTCCACTTTTTCTGCTCTTCCCCGTCGTTTCCGAGCGAATGCAGACAGAACCTGACAGCACCCCATAACCTCAACTAAAACCCTGTTGCCCAGAGCACACTTGCCCTACACAGCGGTCGTAACACTTTGGAGCTACAGTGGTATGGCACTCTCCTAGCAACTTTGGCTCTGCATTTTCTTCTCCATTGGTGTAGGGAGTTTAGCAGCGACAGCATAGTCGTGCACCCCGAACCTCCAACAGACGAAGCAAGGTGAAGCAAATCCCCATCCGACCGCACTTGCCGTATGCGGCGGTCGCTTTGCGCGATATTTGCCATATTTGCCAGTTGCCACGTTCTCCCGCTATCCTAGCACCTTTGGTCTAGCTTAGCAGTTTATTCCACCCCCCCAGCTTCCGAAAATCCTACAGCAAATGCACAAACGAATTCGAAGCGAATTTGGGTTTGTGCGTGTCGTGTGGGGAGGAGCGGGTAATCAGACCCACCAGCACTTCGCTTCATTTGGAACTAGCTTGGCCAAGCTCGAACGCGGTCCGGGTTGGGATTTCACAAATGCTCGTCGGGACAGGTCGTCTAACGCCCGAACCAACCCATGCATCACTATCACACTGCTTTCTCCTCGGTGCATCTTGCCGTTGTCGTGTGCAGTTGTGTTGGCCGACGAACTCCACATGGCACGAAGCCGGTACCAGTGATCCGAGACCAAAAGCGACGATCGTTGCTGCTGTTGCTGCTCACTCCGTGTTCGAGCGGTGGTGAACGGTCGGCCAAGCATGTTGGAGTTCAATCATCAGCTCAGTAAGTCTTGGAACGGTGGGGTACGGCAAGGACCCTGATGCACTATTGCTCATACAGACTCATACATATGTAATCACATATAAACACGAGTAGTCATTTATCTAGAGCCAACAGACACACCCACACAACAGACACCCACACACACACACACATGCGTATGTACTAACACGTCGTTCAAGGCGGCGTCTTGGATGACGCTGCTCAACGCCCGGCGGCGCGTCTGTGCGCCCAGCCCCGAGGTGCGGCTGCTTGCGCCGACTCAGGGGCAGCTCTATTGCAGTGCCCGCCCCTTCCGCCTCCAGTTTTTGGAGTTCCAGTACCAGGGCTACCAGGGCTACCACCAGCGCCGGGCTCCCTGAGTAGCGAAAAAAGGCCGGTGACAAAACCGCGCTCTGAAACCAGGCAGCGAGGTGCGTTTTGACGATGCTACGGCCTTGGGCGGAAAAGGAAGCGGAAACCGCTTCTTCGCCTGCCACCCTCACGGCCGAAGCCTCAGCCAGTCGTGCAGCTTCCGTGCTTGCGGAGCAGCTATCGGCTATCGACGGATTGACCTGCAGGCATTCTCTCCGTGGGGTTTTGCTCAAACGCAGCCTTGCAGCACTGGATAAGAAAACCCACGGGATGCGCCACGTAGTCCTCCTCAGCCTCAGGTTGTCTGGGGCCGCAAGTTTCATGAGGCACAGTGACAGTGACAGTGAGCAGAACGCAGCAGAAAAGAGAGCTTTGGCCAGACTTTGGAGGTGGTGGGTCACTGCAATTATCTCATCGATCCGACCTTGCGGAGCTGCGGCTCTGCCAGCGCAGACTTCCATAAAATCTTCTGAAGTGGCCTGTCGGTGGCAAGACCTTGCGCCTCGCGCGCGAATGCCGCATGCCGCATCGCGCAGGAACAAGGGCTTGCTGGCCAAGTTCTTCTTGGATGCCTTCGAGGGACCGCCGAGCCGGCTCGGAGTTTTCAGAGCCGCCGCGTGCCGTTTCAGTGCCATGCAAGCTTCGCCCAAACAAACTCTCTCCCTCTCTCTCTCATTCCCTCTCCGTGTCTTGACGGCCGTGTCAGCTGTCAGCCCCTAGCTCCCACTTCAGCAGCACTCGCCCAAGGGAAGACAGCTCAAAAAATCCAGTGCTTTTCTTTCACCAGGAATCGGCGCACAAAGCTGCATGGCATAGCATCCGACAGCATGCTCCACTTTCCAAGAACCACTATGTGCCAACATGGTCTCAGGGATCGGAAGGAAATTCAGCCACAGAGGAGTTCTCTGAGCAAACTTCGCAGCAGCTTTCGCGATGGCCAGGCATGGAGCCATTCGCGACACTCGAGCAGCGACGATCCAGGAGCTCATGGAGAAGGCGAGGAGCGAGTACACGAAGCATGACAAAGCATGGCCTGGCTCAACTCAAAGTCGCTTTCGAAGGGCGAGTCGATCTCCATGACTCCCGGTGCCTACCAAGAGGCGCGCGAGAGTCTTTTTGCTTGCAGCCCTCCGCGATGTCCCTCATTCAGAGCACAGGTTCTTCGGATTGGATGTGCGGTCTGCATGAGTAATGCGGCAATGCTCCTGCAAGGCGACCTGCTTTTCTCATGGCTTGGAGAGAGTGGCGCTCAGACAGCGGAAAGGCTTTGTGAAGTGCCCCGGGCCGTGTCATGGCATGTCCTTGTGTCCGCGTCTTTCGACATAGAATCGTAACATCTTTCCGCTCCCGCCACCATCAAAAACAGCCCCATGTCATCTCAAAAACATGCCCGCTTGTGAAGCATGCGCGACCGGGTTGCGTGGCAAGGGCAGCAAAAGCAGGAAGACCGAACGCGATTCGCAACGACCATCCAACAGAAACACTTATTTGGGGTGACATGTACACATGCAGCCAACTCCAAGCTTTATCACAGCAGGGTCTTCTCCTGCCGCGCTACATGCACAGGCGCAGCGGCGCAACCGATATTGCCGATATTCGTAGTGATGGTCAGAGGCGTTCTCCAGAGACCCCTGATGTTTGTGTGTTTTGATTGCACGACTGTATCTGTTCAAGCACATGCACACATCTAAAGCATGTATGACTACTTATTCAAGAAACCGGAAGGACCGTATGTTGCACCTTGTGGCAGTTGTTTGATTCTGGACTTGTTGTTGGCTTGTCTTATGTTCGAGTTTGCTGACACATTCACATGTATGGCTGTATGGCCTTGTACAACCCATCACAGACTGCAATTTTCATATGGTACCTTGCACAGCCCGCGGTAGGAAGTTTGTTGGTCAAGCTGAGGTTATTGATAGAGTTGGCAGGGCTAATTCGTGCTGCTTTTGCTATTAACAGCATCAATATTGCACTGCAGCTATTGAGCATGCTTCTTCATGTACTGTGCATTTGGCTCAGGTTTTCAAATTAAAGTGGTAGGGGCAGCATTGAGCTCCAGATGTGTTGAAACCAAGACCAACTGCATTTAGCAGTCTTTGCAAAATTCTTTCGGGCTTGGTCGGAGGCTTCGGGGGAGCATGGGTTTGGGTTCGGAGATTAGGGCCGGCGCATCGGCAAAGCTAATTGCATTATCCAAGCAAAATGCCTTTTGGTGACCACGATCTTCGGGTTTGGGGACAAGTGCGACAAACCGTGGAAGAACGCGATACCGATAGCGCAAAAATTATGTGATGCAGGTGTCCATTCAAGCACTGTGGGATCATCAAACTTGCTCGCCGTTCGAATTTACAGTATGGGAAAATGCTGAGTGAACCCTTGCGACGTTTTCACGATCTCTTCAAAGCCCCGTAACAAATGGGGGCCATGTGGCCGGGGGATCTGTAAACATTCCCCCATGTATTGCGTTATCTTTCAGAGTTGTTTTGCCCCCCCCCCCCTGAGATGTAACCTGGGTGTGTATC